ACAATTAAATTAAAAAACACGAGGTAAAGTTCTTTTTTTAATTTAATTGTTGCATTTTAAGTGTATTTATTTATTTATCGGTCCAGTTATATAGTTCTGCTTTTATTTCTAATTATGACAGTTTCAGTCCTCCATAATTTCGAGCAAAAGGATAACTTCCACTTGACAGAAAGATTCACATTTATAAAGTTAATAAACTTCTTTTTCTACTGTTTGACAGGCTTTTGCAGGAGAAGTACCCAACATCTTTGCTGGCTCGGTTGTGTGGGAAACAGCACTTCTTGATTCCTTTCAATGTGCTGGATCTGGTTTATGTTCAGACCGTGTCCTGGGTGGGAGTTTATTACTGCCCTCTGCTGCCTCTGATAGGAACCATCACACTGGTGTTCACAGTCTATATCAAAAAGGTTCTCTGAAACATGGGTCTTATTTATTTCATTTTTTTAAATACACTTCTTAATGTGACTGCTTTAGCTGATGAGTAAAACTGACAGCAGAATGAAAAACGTTTGAACTCTTGGAACTGCTCCTAGGTTTTTTTATTTTTGGTTTTGACTTAATGAAGATTTTTTTTTATTGTTTAATTTACATCAAATAGGTAAAATAAATAATGTATGCTTGCAACTTATCTGAACACACAATTTACAGTTCTTAATGTAACAACATGTGACATCAGTTTGTAATTTTATGATTATGAAGCAAGAGACTGAAGATTTCAAGAGTTTCTGCTCTTTCTGCTGAGCAAAACTTCAACATACAGTATGCTACCAGTTAGTTTCTGGTGTTTTGTATGCAAATGTAAGAATGATTAATTTATTTTGTCATTTCATTAAACTCCAAAAGCAAAAGTTAAAATATTGTCTTCGTGACCTCAATGGTCCTGAAGTAGGTTTAACATTTTTTCACTGTTTTTTTATTTTTCTGTTTTTTTCAGTTCAGTGTCCTGCGATGTTGTGTAGCAGAGCAGCGGATGTTTCGAGCCTCCAACTCCTCTGTTTTATTTTATTTCATGTTGTTACTTGGTCTCTTCATGGCTGCAGCTGCACTAGTCTTTGACTTCTACAACCCTAAGATAATGTATTCATTTCTCTCCTAATTTGTGTAGCTCTTACTTACAGACATTGTATTTTGCCCACAAAAGATTTGATCTGAAATTGAATACACAAAGTTATGTATTTTTATTTTTAATTTTTTTTTTATTTAATCAACAAAAACTTCCATCTCTCCTTCCTGCTCCAGATTGTCCTGCGGTCCTTTCATAAATGGAGAAACTGCATTTAATGTAACTCAGTATTGTGTGACCAGTCTTCCCAACTCAGCCCAGACCGCTCTTCGCTACTTGGCATCGGAGGCCTTTGCCTTGCCACTTATATTAGCTGAGATGTAAGTAAGCAAAATAGATAATAGTGGATTAGTCTTGTGAAACACTTGTGCAACATTTAGTTTAAACAGAACATGAAACATAAATGTGTCTGTGTTCGTAGCATCATCCTAACCTCATATGTCTCAAGAGGACGAGCTAACCAGAAAGCCATTGAGAGACTAAAAGACATGCTGGTTATGGTAGGATATCTTACAGTACAATTACTCACCTAGAGATGATAAGACAAGTTAAACCAATTTTATTTTGCTCCTGATAGATCATTTCAGTTATGATATAACAATGGGCCTCATGCAAGAACATGTTCATATTCTTATCCTAAATTTCTCTTACTTTTGTTCGTACAAAGGGTTCG